TGCTGAACATATCTGATATGAGATTTCCAGGAGAATTTGTCATCAACTATGACACCTAGAAATTTAATTTCATGTACTCGTTCTATATTAGCACCCCCAATTTTCAATTGAAGTTCATTATCTAGTCTATGATTCCCAAATACCATAAATTTAGTTTTATCCAAATTCAGAGATACTATATTACTGTCACACCATTTCTTTATCTTCTCAAGTTCCTGTGAAACCCGTCCAGAGAGTTGCTGTAGGTTTTCACCCGATGCCCATATGGTAGTGTCATCAGCAAACAAAACCACTTTCACTAAATCAGAAACCTTGCATATATCGTTAATGTATAATATAAATAATTTAGGTCCCAAAACAGAGCCCTGAGGCACTCCACATACAATGTCCAGCTCACTCGATTGGTATTCACCCAACTTCACAAACTGACGCCTCTGTGTCAAATAACCAGAGTTTGACTGTAGATCAGAAAAAAGCAACATGATTATGTTAACTTGTTTTACACTGAACAATCAACTGGTTATTAAAGAGAAATCTAAGATGTATCTAGAATTAATGGTGACAATAACATATGCAGCATAAAGAGTTTTAAGGTTTACTGTGTAATTTTAAACTTGTAGCAAAATATAATCTGCTGAGGCAGCTCGAAAGAATAAAATAAAAAATAAAAGACACTCCTGTAGTCTAAATATCACATTTGATATGAAAAAGCCTTTACTGTGCACGTGTTAATGCAGAATAGTTACTGAGAAACCCCTGTAGTATAGTTTGGGTGTTTTATCACACTTATGACAGTGTTTTTCTTCAACCTGTCCACAGAACATCAGATTACGACCGTCATGCAGAGAATCGTCTGCCTTCACACACTGAATTAACATTTGAAAAGGTCACTTCTGTTTATTCTGATTCTCTTAAATTAAATCACTGGCAGTTTGTCTAAAACACAGCAGTATGTTAGAATAGCATTCACTATCTGTCCCGGCCTGTCTTGTTCCATCATCATCATAGAACATCACATTTCTATTTCAGCTTGCAGTAAAATGATATTTGCAGTCTTGGTGCTTCCACAATGTAAAGCACTGAGGCAGTGGAGGGAGACTAAGACAGGACAAGGAAATGGAAGCAACTGTTCACTGCTTTGTCCAAAGCTACGTCCACATCACAGCTGAACTTTCCCAAACCCAGTCTCTTCTCTCTCCTAGTGACTCGGACCTGACATGTCCACCGAGGTGTGACGAGACCAGGCCGCGTGTCCTCAGGCCGCGTGTCCTCAGGCCGGGTGTCCTCAGGCCCGATCTGGGCCAAGTTCAGCTGTGATGTGGATGTAGCTTTTGACTATGTGATTCCTCTCCGACCTCTGACTGTCCGAACGCTGTCAGAACGATAAGATCGGAATCCATGTGGTTGTTTTAATGTATCTATGTATGTGGCTCACATTTCACTTGCATCTGTGCACGTATGGCAGTTTAGGAGCTCAGCGGTGTTTACACCGGAGCCATGTACATGGCGCACACACATGGAAGCATCAACACAACATGATCAGATGTCAGTGTTGAGGCCTGGGACACAGCCAGCGTGACTTTTAGATGTGTGTGCAGTGTGGTGTCGTGGCTCAGCACTGGGCGCTTTCTGACGGCGACTGGTGGAGGACACTGAACCACCACAGAGTAAATGGAGGCACTCAGCTGTCTCACTAATCACAGTACGCAGCCAGACATACTGCTGTGTGTCTGTGTGCAGGAAGCCACTGAAGTTAAAATGAGGTGAAGTGAAGTGACAGACAAACAAACAGGATGATTTTCTCAGCCAGTGGAGTGAAAACAGACCGTTAGCGACAGTGTGAGTTCGTTATTATGGATCTCACAGGTCTGAGCCTGGGAAGGTAACACGGGATACACAACTCTTGCACTCAGACAATGACTTGTCAACAAAGGCAATGATCTGAGGTCTAACAAAGTGTCCGATGGTTTAAATTCACTGGTTGAGTTCTAGATGAAAGGATCCAATAAAAAGATTCTCACAAATTACAGGCTGCCTGAATTAAATTCCAAAATGCGATGTTTTTAACTGCTCTCCAAGTCCAGCACATTTCTGACCTGCCGCCCAAATCAGCACGGTGACAACATGCAAATCACTACAACAAGGATTTGCTGAAATTACTGTCGAGGATTAAAGAGACCGCCGGAGGACACACAAGGCCATACCTCAAGTCTCTGATGGGGCGACACGTCCCTTTATCAGAAACCAGTCAGTGACTCGAGCACAGGACGTCTCAAGTCACGTTTCCTGGATCCCTATTTCGTTGAGTGTCTGGAGGGACATAGAAACACGGAACGATCATTTCAGCCACAAAACTTTTCTTTTCAGTCATGTTAAGTGTTAGTTATTATGTTAGTTAGCGGTTTTCAAAATTTTAAAATTGTTGCTACTGATGAAGACGGTGCAAAATGTTAGAAAGCCCCAGAAGAAGTAATGGAAATCTGAGTCACACTTTAGAAATGATAAACAGGAAGATTTAAACTAAATGAGCATTTAAATAAATAGATACTATACTTTATAATGTATTTGTATGCAGACATACAGAAAGAACATTGTAATAATAAAATATTTTTCAACATTCATTAATGTTAGTGTAGGTACAAACCAGGCATCATAAATAATACAAACATGGACCTGAAGTGTCAGTAAAGGCTTTATAACATACTGTAAACATGTTCTGGTACAACAATATAATATACAAATATTTAAAAATTGTCTATTGAAAGAATGAACCTTAAAAAATGAACCTTTATGGGCATTTGCATGCCGAGGAGCTGAACGGCTGGAGGTGACAGGAGGCATCAACAAACAGATGCCAACAAACCGTGAACAGCAGGTACAGACGTCGGACGGCTGCACACAGCCATGGAAGGTAACAGCAATAAGACGGTGACGAACATCACGACAACATAGAAAATGTGTCGCTACAGGCGAGAAGCAGCTGTAAAATAGGACACAACAACAAACAGGAGGAGGGAGCGTCGCCGAGTGTGGCAGCGCTGTAACGCACACGCTTAGTGTGTCTGTCAGCAGCGGCGTGGAGATGCATCACAGCACACGGGGAGAACGGGGCCAGCACAGTAAAAGCAATCAGTGAATACAAGAGGAAAAGAAGGGAAACGGAGGCAGAAGCAGACAGAAAACTCACAGCGAGTGGATTAGAACGGCACAGCTGAGCAAACACACAACAGTCAACAACAGTGAGTAATAATTGATTTCAACTGTTAGAAGCATCTGTTAGATTTGGTGACTGCTTTATCTCGTCATCCTTGTTTCCAACTGTCAGTCGCACACACACACACACACACACGTGTGCATGCTGCATTAACATTCATGCATTCTGACCATGTACAGGAAACCTACTTAGCACATAGGACAGGCAAGGCAGCTGTATGTGTAGACCATAAAAACAACAGGCATTAAAACCAGAAGAAAATCTAAGATAAAATAAAATGTTAAAATGAACTACATCACAGGAAAAACAAAAATATAAAACTAGAGAGCAGTAGCAACACAGGAAACCAAAGTCAGAGGCAGGAGAAGTTTTCAGTTCAGACTTGAAAGCGTCTGGAGTTGGGGCACATGTCAGGCTCCATCTGTGTGCAGCACAGCAGCAAAAACACAACTAGTGGTTAAATTATTAATTAGCATTACATCATCATGAGTTTCTATCTACTCACACCCTGGACTTCAGGATACTGCAGGCCACAAAGCAAACGCTGGCTGCTGAGGAAGAACACATTCCTCCGCTCCGTTATGTTTATTCTCAAAATATGAGCTCTGACACACGCAAATAAAACATGGCGTTCAGATTTCCAGAGGAATGGAGGTCAGTGAAAACACAGGAGAGGGATCAGGGCTCGTATTCCAGTAATTTTTCCCAATTTGGTATCACAGGAGCAAATCTACTGTAGGAATCCTGTCTCATCTCAGCTTAGGAAATCCTAACTACTCCGTCACCAGCTTTTATATCTGTTACCTAGCAACCAACGCCACTTTAATCCCCTCATCTCGCCAGGCTATTTTGGTTAGATATTCTCACTGAAGCAAACGAGGAACAGAAACAAGGTTGTATTGGCAGAAACGGGCCATAGTGTGCATAATTATGCTTTCATTCATGTAATCAGCAGAAAATAAAAACCATTGTGTTTCCTTTAGCTTGGAATGAGCCTTTTACATCTACATAGGAGCGGGTCCTCTATCATGGAGGGCGCCATTTTACAGTAGCCCAGGACGGACAAACCACACACTGGCATCAGAGTTTGGATTTCATGTTGAAGTAGCAGGTTGGATTTGGAGATGCTTCGAAGACGAAGTAGAAGTAGCGTTAGAAACAACAGGAAGCATTGTCATGAGTTTAAAAAGCATAATTTGAAGAAATGGAGGATCATAGTTTAACACAAGACAAAGGAAGACAGCGTGAACGTTTGTTGTCAAAGCAGCAAAGAAACGGGATAGGTGACAGCACAAGACGAGGGTAAACATCGGTGTGGCCTTTTCCAGGTGAAAAGCCTTGATGAGGGACAGATGTTTCCAGAATGATGCTGAAGCTGCCCGATGAGGGACAGACAGGTCATTTAGCCTAACCAGCAAAATTAACCTGAAAGCAAGTTTTTGTTTGACAGCTTTAGCTAGAACACGGCCAGAGCTGGGCAACCCGCTGTGGTCCAGTGAGCCACTGCTAGCTTTTGCTTGGTCAAGGCAGCCGCCCTTGTTTTACAGGAAGTGCTGTGAAACAGCTGTGAGGGCTGGTTAACACAATGTATGAGAGCACTGCTGAACGGTGCAATCTGCAACCTTACCACTAAATCTCACATGTTGCACCTTTAAGTTCAAGACAAATGAGTTACAAGTGTGTTGATAACACCCGTGGAGAAATCCAGGGATGTTCTCTTTGGTTAAACTGTGTGACAAAGTGGCCTGAGACACTTCTGCTATGTGCTAAGCACATTCTTTAGTTTCACCACAACGGGGAGAGCCCATGTCGCCGGGTCGGGCTGCTTCACAGCTGGTTGTAGAGGCTCGGCTAACTG